GGCTTCATGGCGCTTGCTAGGGTCCTTGAAAGAGGAAATGGAAGAGGAGCAGGAGCAGGAGCAGGAGCAGGAGCAGGAGCAGGAGCAGGATCAGGAGCAGCAGCAGAAGCAGAAGCAGGAGCAGGAGCAGGAGCAGGAGCAGGAGCAGGGGCAGGGGCAGGGGCAGGTGCAGGTGCAGGTGCAGAGGCAGGTGCAGGTGCAGGTGCAGGAGCAGGAGCAGGGGCAGGAGCAGGAGCAGGAGCAGGGGCAGGGGCAGGTACAGGTGCAGGTGCAGAGGCAGAGGCAGGGGCAGGAGCAGGAGCAGGGGCAGGGGCAGGAGCAGGAGCAGAAGCAGATGCAGGGGCAGGGGCAGGGGCAGGGGCAGGAGCAGCTGTCGAGAACCTTGATTGGCCGACGCGTATGGGCACGCTATGCCAGGCGAGGACGAGGACGATGTGCACAAGGATGAGAAGGAGCAGAGGCAGAGTCCTCAAGGCCGGCAGGCAAACTTGAGGGGGGGAGAGAGGAAATGACATAATTGGCCGTATGATCTCACGCGCACGTCTCTAATCATCAGGACAGGTCGTTGTCAGTCAGCATGAGCAATCCTTGTGGAGAAGTCTGGGATGAAATCACGTGAGTTGTTTGCTGTGTTATAAGGCCTCATTGGCTGACACGATGTTGTCAGGCAACAAGACGTGCCCAAGGTGGACACCAAGTCTTTCGGTCTCCTCTGCTTCATCTTGAACATCTTTTTCCCGGGCATCGGATCGATCGTAGCCGGGCTCAAGGGAGACAAGACATCCACCATGGTCCCTCGTGCTCTCCTCCCTTGTGCGACCTCTAATCTCCCTTCCTTTCAGATCGTCGGAGTCCTTCAGTTCGTGACCTCCTGGTTCATCCTCGGGTGGATTTGGAGCATCTGGTGGGGATGGCTCATCTACTCAAAGGCGAGTGACTCTCCATTACAATCTCCTCTGTCCCCTCCTTTCACGAACCCCGACCCTTGCCATGCTGCCCTACTGCCCTCGTTTCCCTGTCCCCCCATGCTCGTCCTCCCTGTTCCCTCCTCCCTCTTCCAAGTGCATCTCGCTGACTGTTCCTGTTCTCAGTCTGGCGGCTTCAGTCCTTTGTCAAACGCCTAACACAATGCTGTTTTCTCTTTTTCTGTTCAATAGTCTTCGGTGTTTAGTCTCACACTTGTATGCTAGTATGGATCAAGCAGTGCGATCTTCTTGAGACGTCCCTTTGCTGCACTTCTTCTCTAGAACGGCGAGCTTGCTTGCGAAGTCCTCGTGACTGCGATGACGTCAGCATCTCGGGCAAGTCATGCTCCACTAGTACCTCAGATAGCATCCCACAAGCACCCGCCCGCTCCTGGGTGAAATCTCGCTCCTTCCATGCATCACGCGCTTGTTGTCGATGATGATCAGCTGGCCGGGCTGCACGCAAAGAACATGAGGAGGCGAAGAGAAGCGAACAGTGGAACGAGGTTCAAGCACAAGGCAAAGGGAGGAATCTGACCATGAGCTTGAGCCATGCCTCGTTGGAAGGGTCGGCAACGATGGAGCAGAGTTGTTGCCAAGCTTTGTAGAATCTCAACACCTGAGGTAGAAAAATTGAGACAGACAAACAGACGGACAGGGAGAGGGAGGGAGGCAGACAACAAGCAGTACAAGGACGATGAAGAGGGACTCACTTGAGAGGGGGGAAGCCGCATCACATCGCGATCCAGGGTGTTGAGGCTGAACCGGATTACATTTCCATCCGCGTCCTGGGGAGCCATTAGCACCATATCTGTCATACCTTCATCCTGCTTACCTTCCCGAAGACAGTGTGGTAGCTCACAAGGTGATTCTGACCGGACAAAGTCAGAAGGATGAAGAGCAATGTACTGCCTTCACCTCCTTGTCAGTGTGCTGGAAGGGGACCGGAGTCTCGCACAGGAAGTTGAAAGAGTCGCTGTCGATTTCCTTCAAGTCTTCAGCGACCTGCAGGCAAGTGACGTGGCGACAAGATGGCAGAGTGTGCAAACCTTGAACCCATCGACCAGCAGAGTATCTCCTCCATGAAGGTCTGGCTCGAGGCAGTGGAACACCTGAGGAAAAGCGATTGAGCGACGCGCCATTGCTGCTCTCACAATTCGCTCACCTGGATACCGGGAGGATCTTGCCAGTAGTTGCCGTCAGTGTGGGCTGGCAGGGCGCATGTGGAGAAAGCAGAGTCGATATTCTTATTTGCATGTCAGGGGGAGCACGTGCAGTCGAGTGCTGTCAAGGAAACCACACCTTCTTGTCGTCCGCTGGAAGCAGACGAGTCTCCCAGAAGCCTCCGTAGCTGTTTGTAAGGATTAGAACAACGCACTGTCGAGACTTTCCTCACATAGTGTTCCTGACAGGACCAATCCTTTCGACCACCTTTTGAGATGTCTCTGTTGCACCAGCCGTTAGCTGAGCAACTTCTTCTCGGGCGAGCCCTTACCTTTGCAGGTGGGTGTGTTTGACACAATAGCCAGACCGAATTTCTTGACCTTGCGGAGAAGCTGTAATCAAGTGTAAACAACCATCGAGCAGTCATGATCCGAGTGAATACCTCAAGGACAGCCTTGTCATCTCGCATCACCTGCCACAGCTGTAAACAGAAAGCACAGCAGCTGATTCCACTCACCTCCTCGAAAGGCACGGACACGTTAGAAATGTACTTGTTGAGATCATTCCCCCACAACCAGGGACGGTTGCGGAGTTGCCGCTTAATCTCCTGAGGGTTTAAGTGTCAGCGATAGGAACGAACATTAGCAACTTAATACATTGTGGTGGGAGTAACAGTTGTGCCTTAGCCATTTGGTATCGAACTCAGATACCTTGACCCCATCAACATGTCTTCGCATGAAACGTAAGTAAATTTGTTCGCCTCGGACTCTTCAACATTCACCTGTTCCAGGTAATCTTGACTTTTCTCCCATTGTCAGTGACCTGCGAAGAGGTCACTTCAATCTTCTTGAAATGAAAAACAAGGTGGCAATAAGGCATTGCATTTGCTGCCTAAATGCGTGCAATCGAAAAATAGAATGCACAGACCTCAATAGACTCTGCCGCTATGTCAAGGGGAATCCTGAGATACATAATTATCAAAAAAACATGTCCACGGCGAAGAAATTCAAGTCTACTTCGCAGTGTCGACTGTCCTCTGATTGGTGATGGAGGCAGCTGTTCCGTGCGAGTACTCGTGATCGCGGAGCCAGATGAAGTGATACTTGGAGTGGTGTCCGTCTTTCCAGACCTGCGATGCACACTTGATCAGCCCTGGAGATTGGGGGCGTCCACTGCCTTACCACTTCAAGGGCCCTTTCAGCAATGTCTGTCGTCATGTTCCAGATCACGAATGCATCCGTGTCGTACGACATGCGATCTGCACTGCAAGTGAGGATGCCTGGCAAAAGTGCCCACGGCATTGCTCACTTTCAACTGATGGAAGTGGGAATCCCCTGTAGTCTGTGAGGCTGAAGTCGAGCGGTGGATACTCTGCTTTGATCCTCTCCTGGCGTCCGACGCCTCTGGTGATGTTCTTGTACACATCAACAGCAGCAAGTGCTGAAGAATGCTTCTGAGAGCGCGTCGCCTGATACAAGTTAGCATCGCGCAAACAACCACGCCAACCATTCCGAACCTGCTCATATTTTGATACGGCAATTCTGCTCACACTGTTGACGGTGGGGTATCTATTCATTCATTTTTCAGAAATGAGGCATGTCGATCTCCAAATACCTTATGCGAGATGAGAAATCTCGGATGTTTCTGGTTATAGCCTGACGGAACATGTTTGAATCTATTCGGAATTTCCCAGATTGAATGTATGTCTGATGTAAAGGAATATAACAATGGTGTGGCTGGGAGTTAGAATTTGCTCTCGGACTATTGAAATAAGTAGATGCCGCTCAAATGTACAAGAAAGATTCGCGCGCTCCAACTGTGGAGTGGTAAAGATGCAACTAAGGTAATTTCCAGCGGATGATGAGGAGCGCTTGCCAAGTGTCAACGTCGTTGCCCAGCTTCCCTACACCTGAAGGAAGCATTCGACATCAGAAAACATGTTTGGTCCAAGGAATATGAGATCAAGGCATGGCAGCAGACGTTTGATCACCTGCCATGTGTCCGCGGTCGTCACTTTCTCCCAGAGTTCAGCCGGAAACAGAATAGATGGATGGAAAAATGATCGCCGCCGTGCGGATTTCTGTAATGAGAAAGTCATTTTCTTGTTGACATGCATCTTGTGTGCTCCATTTCGTGTTGCAATCAGATTTGCTTCATCTCCAATCGTAAGTAAAGGGATATTAGATTGACAAATCCACAGAGGGTGTGGATTGGTTGAAGGAGTCTAATACGAATCGTACAAGTCATGAGCAACACAACAATCAATTGTGGCAGCATCTATCAGCGATAAGTGTAACCATCATCGTCATGCCATCAAGGGATGCGACGAATGATGGACTGAACTGCTCGATATATCTCCATATCTCCAGGATCCCCTGCAGCCTGCCGCCTCCAAACCCTACACTCCTCTCACTGTCTGATGTCAAGCTTCACACCACCCTTCATCTGCTCCTTGAGACATCTCTCAGTGTCATTGCTCGCTTCTATTTGCTTCCTCTTCCTCCCTCCCCGTTCTCCCTCCTCCACCTCTGCCTTCCTTTCAGCCATGCCCGACCACCAAGATTCTTTTCTAAAATGCTTCATCCAAAAATTATTTTTGAACCTCAATGCTTCGAGCTGAAGGATCTAATTTGGAGGCTTTTACAAGATATTTATTTTAAAAAAACGTATTTATGGTCTTACTAAAACTACTTCTTCGGTACAGTGACCATCAATCAATATTAAATTATAAATCTGGTTCAAACAATTATTCTAAAACGTTTTTGTAAATGGGAATCAATTGACACCTGGCAGCTCACCAGTACGATGGCCCTCCTGTTTAAAACTATTTTCACAGATTAAAAACACGTGTAGTTTCCTACCCCACCCCTTTGCAAATTTACCCCACCGCTTGTCCGAAGTTCCATCTACGCCCCTCGGGGTAGTCGAGCCCCCACCCCCTATTTCCCATACCTCACTTGTTGAATCAGTTTGAGGAGCCCCTCTGAAATCTGTACCCCACCCCCTCGAACCTTCAATCGTCCCTTCCTTACCCCTTGTACTCGACTTGTACTGTGTGCTGCAACACGACCACATCGTACCCCTACCTACCCTTTATCATGCCTTCTCGAGATTTCAATTGATATTTCACCACTGAAACGTCAGTGAATCTTGAAATTGTTCCAGGGAAATGATTTGGACAAGCTTTGAAATTGTGAAATATTTCAGTGACCCTCCATTGATGAACCACGAGTCTTCCTCAGGAGGTGGGGTCCAGATAAGCCTGCTGGTCAAAAGTTTTTAAGATTAAAACTGAAAACTGATTTTAAACTAGAACACATCGGCCACCACCATCATTCCCCAATTTACCAATTTTGTGGGAATTTGCGAGGAGAGCTGAAGGCTCAACAACCTAGGGGGGTAAGGGTAAGTAAACTCTCAATTACACCACTAGTAAAAAGTGATAAAGCCACGCTTATCGGGGCAATGGGTCGTGTAGATTTGAGCAACCCCCCGGAGGCCGGTTGGTCAGGCCGCCACCCCACATGGTGAAAGTTTGTGGGGGAAGAATTCCGAGGAAACAGGGGGGTGGGGTCTTGCGTGACTGAGTTACCGGCCGGGCTCGGAACTCGGAAGGCGGCAGGCGGCGTGCGCCGGGGCCTGGACACTGACTGGGCCGAAGTTTACTCAAAGTTAAGTTAAAAATCAGCCTCGAGGACTATGTCATGAAGCCTTGAAGAGACTACTGTAGAGGAGGCTTGACCCTGACACCGTCGCACAGGCCATCACGTGACGGCGACTCGGACTCGGAACTTCGAAAAGCCTGAACTTCTTGAAAGACGGCCGGGGCGGGCCCCCGACAGCGGGAACCAACCGTGAACTGGCAACCCTCACCGTAGCGCGGCCTGGACTCAAGTTCCAGATCCGAGTGATTGCCAGTTCGCGCCCGGCGCGCCGGGCAGTCACACTTGTAGTACGCCGTGACCGTGGCTGAGACGGTGCACACCTTGGCCGCGTGACCCGGTGATCGGACTGACGTCGGAGCCGCTCACCAGGCTGCGGCGAGACCATCCGATCCGCCAGCACTGGGCCGCCAGCACTGGGCAGCCCGGCAGGACTGTACGGTCGGGCACTTTAGAACCTCAAAAGTCTGGGCCAGGCCCTGATATCAGCAACATGCTAGCAGTTTGCTTGCGATCGGATCTCGGAGCCTTGGACGGGAGCTTCTTCTGTCCCGGTTTTCGTTCTGCGCAGCAACAGCCCAAACGGCGGTCAGCGAGGCCCAGTGAGCTCTTGGATCTTGCGATCCCCACACTAACCGAGTCCTTCCAGCAGCGGGCCCTGCGCTGTCTTCTCCCTCTTCGCCGCTCGCTCCGCCTCCTTCTCCTGCACCAGCCGCACGCTCTCGTCCACCCTGCCACCTGGCTGTCAGGAGACAGCAGCCGGCTGCTGTCAAGACCTCTGCTTCTTGTTGCGAGAGGGATTCACGAGCAGGGACGAGTTGGCCGCCAGGAACTCTTTGATGTCCTCCACTCCCTTGGTCTGCCACAGCCTGCCGATACTTACACTCAACACTCCTGGTCCGGAGCTTGAAGAACCTCTCTGCTCTCTCATGCAGTGTGCCCCCGCACTTCATCCCTAGCTTGCTCAGCTCGTCCTTGAGGACATTCAACCCCAGCTCCTCGACCTGCACCGCCGGTCACAGGCACCAGCAGCCGACCCTACTGAAGGTCCTTGACCTCCTCTACTGTCTCCGCTGTCTCGATGTTGATGCGTCTTACACTCAGCTTGTGATCCCATATCCTGCAGACGACGAGAGTCAGTGGAGGCACCGTGCTGATGACTGCTGCTCACATCTGAAATTTTCCGATGAAAGCCGTCCCGGCCTCGTTCTCAGATCGGAAGCTTGCGGTTTCAAGTCAGATGTTTCAAAAAGCAGAAGAGCAGCATCAAGTTAGAAACGAGAGAAGATGAAGAGGAAGAGGAAGAGGGAGATTAAAATGATAACAATGGTGACGACGGTCGTAGTGTAGAGGACGATAAGGAAGAGGAGGAGGAGAGAGAGAAATGGATTATGGTTGTAGTGTGTGGCAGTGTAAAGGAGGAAGAAGTTATGCAGTGGTGTCCGTTGAGAAGAAGCTGGAAATGGAAAAGTATCAAGAGGATGGAGTGTTTTCACCCCGCAAACTCTGATATATGCTCATCCTGCTCTTGTTGTTGATGCAGCCTCCTGAGCAAGATAAATCAGGAAAGCATGAGTGAATGAAACCATGTTTCTGTTGCAGAATCCTTCTGCGGGCCTGGTTACGCGCTTATCTCCTTGCGCCTTGCTCTCACCCTTCCAGCTCCTAATCCTTTTCTCGCTTCTCTTATCCTTGCTGTTCTCAACTCGTTTCCTCCTCTTTCTTTGACCTTCCCAACCCTTTCTCTGCCATCACCTCTCCCTCTTGCCTCCTGTTCTCCTTCGTCTTTCCCTTTCCCTTGAATCTGCTCAGGCATTCGCTGCATCATTCTCATGCTCCTGTTCCTGCTATGCTGCTCCTTGCTTCTTCTTCTGCATCTGCTTGCTTCTGCTTCTCCTTGCTTCTTCTTCTTCTTGCTTCTTGTTCTTCTTCTTCTTGCTTCTTCTTCTGCTTCTCCTTGCGCTTCTGCTTCTGCTTCTCCTTGCTTCTTCTTCTGCTTCTCCTTGCTTCTGCTTCTTCTTCTCCTCCTCCTCCTCCTCCCCCTTGCTTCTTCTGCTAGCTTCTTCATTGTTCGCTCACCGTCGCTTCTCATCCATCCTGCATGGGGCGGACTGGAAAGGGGACTTCACGGGTGGGGTAAATTGAGTGGGTGGGGTACTTTTGGGAGGAGCAATGGCGAGCAAGCTGAGCGACAATGTGTTCATGTTCTTCTTCGCAAGTCACATGTGAGTTGCGGAAGAGAAGATGGATCATGAGGGCGAATGCGATGACGATGAATGCGATGAGGATGGAGATGGAGATGGAGATGGAGAGTGGGGAGTGGGGAGTGGGGAGTGGGGATGGGGGTGGGGACGGGGATGGGGATGGAGATGGAGATGGAAGGGAAAGAGAAGCGATGCGAAAGCGAAGGGCAGAAATGGCTATAGAAAGGCCATGCGAATAGATGAGCAAACAAGAGAAGGAGAGCACCTTTTCCTCCCATGGCCATGAGAGGAAAGGGTGGAGAAGAGATAAAGGGAGGATGGCAGTGGCGACGGTGGCATGCGGGGATATGACTGAGGGTGGAGAGTACGGATGGGGAGAGAGAAGAGTGAATGGGCATAGACGAGGAGGGCTGAGGATACGATACAACCGTGTATTGACTGTGTCCGTCACGTCTGTGGTCTTGTGTAAAGTGTGATGGCAAGTGTAGAAAGAGATGGGTCTGCGAGGACTCAAGTATGTGCCTTGTGAGGACTAGCTGAGGCTGAGACAAACCCCAAAGATGACGGGGATGTAGAAGGTAGAGTATCGATAGAGGAGGTAGAGTATCGATAGAGGAGGTAGAGTATCGATAGAGGAGGTAGAGTATCGATAGAGGAGGTAGAGTATCGTTAGAGGAGGTAGAGTATCGATAGAGGAGGTAGAGTATCGATAGAGGAGGTAGAGTATCGTTAGAGGAGGTAGAGTATCGATAGAGGAGGTAGAGTATCGATAGAGGAGGTAGAGTATCGATAGAGGAGGTAGAGTATCGATAGAGGAGGTAGAGCATCGATAGAGGAGGTAGAGTATCGATAGAGGAGGTAGAGTATCGTTAGAGGAGGTAGAGTATCGTTAGAGGAGGTAGAGTATCGATAGAGGAGGTAGAGTATCGATAGAGGAGGTAGAGTATCGTTAGAGGAGGTAGAGTATCGTTAGAGGAGGTAGAGTATCGTTAGAGGAGGTAGAGTATCGATAGAGGAGGTAGAGTATCGATAGAGGAGGTAGAGTATCGTTAGAGGAGGTAGAGTATCGTGAGAGGAGGTAGAGTATCGTTAGAGGAGGTAGAGTATCGTTAGAGGAGGTAGAGTATCGATAGAGGAGGTAGAGTATCGATAGAGGAGGTAGAGTATCGTTAGAGGAGGTAGAGTATCGTTAGAGGAGGTAGAGTATCGATAGAGGAGGTAGAGTATCGATAGAGGAGGTAGAGTATCGATAGAGGAGGTAGAGTATCGATAGAGGAGGTAGAGTATCGATAGAGGAGGTAGAGTATCGATAGAGGAGGTAGAGTATCGATAGAGGAGGTAGAGCATCGATAGAGGAGGTAGAGTATCGATAGAGGAGGTAGAGTATCGTTAGAGGAGGTAGAGTATCGTTAGAGGAGGTAGAGTATCGATAGAGGAGGTAGAGTATCGTTAGAGGAGGTAGAGTATCGTTAGAGGAGGTAGAGTATCGTTAGAGGAGGTAGAGTATCGATAGAGGAGGTAGAGTATCGTTAGAGGAGGTAGAGTATCGTTAGAGGAGGTAGAGTATCGATAGAGGAGGTAGAGTATCGATAGAGGAGGTAGAGTATCGTTAGAGGAGGTAGAGTATCGATAGAGGAGGTAGAGTATCGATAGAGGAGGTAGAGTATCGATAGAGGAGGTAGAGTATCGATAGAGGAGGTAGAGTATCGTTAGAGGAGGTAGAGTATCGATAGAGGAGGTAGAGTATCGTTAGAGGAGGTAGAGTATCGTTAGAGGAGGTAGAGTATCGTTATATTGAAAAGTTGTGAACTATCGGGGGGGGGGGAGGGGGGGGCCTCTTAGTCCGGACCTCCGGCCTGCTGCCTTGCCGGTTCCTGACAGCACGTTGCAGTCCTGCGACGATCTTTGTTGACCTACAGGTCGTCCTGCCCAAGAAGTTCTTCCCGGCGTTTGCAAGGAGATCCTTTGACTTCTATATCGACACATTCAAGGATCCCCTGCTGACAAGCAGGTCAGTCCATGCACGCTTCCTCCTCCCCGAGCTGCTTCCAGTGTCCGATCTCCATGAAGGGAGCCTTGCAGAGCAGGGGCTCCATGATAGAGTTTGGCTCGCTCCTCCTCCCTTCATGTGCCATGTTTGCGCCGTCCCGTTGCTGTTTGCCTCTCATCTTCCTCTTCCCCCCCCCGTTTCCTCCTCCTCTCTCTCGCCCTCGCTGATCTCCTGACTCAGGCCCTTGTGGTTCAAGAGCCTCATCATGGCTGAAGTTGTCTTCCAGCTCCCTTTCTTCTTCGTCGCCCTCTACGCATTTCGAACCAGAGCCAACTGGATCCGAGTCCCTTCCATCGTGTACGCCGCGCACGCCTGCACCCAGATGGTCTGAGATGTTCGTGTCCTGCCAGTCAGATTGCCCTGCCTGCTACTTCCTGTGTTCCTGCACTGCTGCTGTGCTTGAAGGGTGCTGATCTTGCGGCTAGTGACGCGAGGTCATGCTTGACAGGTTCCTATCTTGGGCTCAGTGTGGTTTGATGAAGCTGTTCCCAAAGAGAAGAGGACGGTGAGCGGAGGAGAGGAAAGGAAAGGAGGGACGGCAGGCTAGCGGTTTGGACGTGGAGGGAGGAAGAGGAGTGGGCGGGGTCTGGAGGACTGAGGAGAGAGAGAGGAGGGCATGAGGAGGGGGAAGGATCTTGGTGATGGCCATGGCAGGTGCTGTCTTGTATCTACCTCCCCTACTTTGCGATCCCGCTGTGGTTGCTAGTGCGCATGTATCGCAACCCAGGTGTCCTCTGCTATGTGCTCAGCAGCATTTCGCTAACTCCGCTCAACCTTGCTGCAGTTCCCTTCCCTCTCTCCATCAAGGGCGAATGAGCTCAAGAGCGCAAGGATACCTTCCATGGGACTCCCCGTGCTCCAACCTGTATCCTTCACTTGCTCACTCCTCCTCCTCTTCCGTCCTCGCTCTCTCCCTCCTCTTCCTGCTTCTTCTTCCCTCTTTCCATCTCAACATGAGCCATGTATGAGATAAACATCATCGACTTGTACTATCCCGCTCTTCACCATCTCATCGGTCAGCCATGTCCTCCCAGCCTCGTTGTACGTGCCATTGCACATCACTTCGCTCACTCTCTCCATGCTTATCGTCGTCTTCACCTGCTTCTCCTCCCCTGCGTTCAACCGCCCCCGCCCCCCCGCCCAGCCTCCATCCTCTCCGCCCCGCCTGTTTTGAGTTACCCGCCTGCTCGAAACATTTTGCCCCCCCGAGGATTTTTTAGCTCGAAGGACCAGGAGGACGAGGCGTACGGTCAGAGGAGGAGGAGGGAGCGCAGACAGCCCATCATGAAGGTGCAGCATGCGATATCGGAGGCTCTTGGGGACGTTGGCGCCATGCTTGATGAAGTTGTCGGCAAGCTCAAGGAGCTCGGCATCGACCTAGAGGAGCTGGCTCCCGACCATGTCTGCTACCGCTGCTCCTCGACAGTCGAGTACCAGGACGTCTGCGCCATGCTGAGCCAGCAGGGTGTTCTCCTGATCGAATCCATGATTGGAGGGCGGCCCATCTCCACCTTCCAGCTCCATGGCGCGCTAGAGTATGACGGCTGGCGCATCGGCTGCATCGAAGTGCCATGCCCCAAGGAGGGGAGGGCGTACAAGAGCGGGTGGGAGCACGTGGAGTTTGTCGTCTGCAAGGAGGGAGAACACAAGGGGAACGAGCAGCTGCTGTTGTGGAAGGAGAAGTACCCTCATGTACCATGGGACCTCCGGGCGCTGGGCAAGGAGGTCAACCCAGACATCTCCCTACAAGTCAGCGAGCAGCATAGCTGCAAGTTCCACCAGTGCCCCCTTGACCGAGTCATCGAGAAGGAGAAGGAGCAGAAGCTGTTTGTTCCCGTCCCTCCTGGCTACTTCTCCCAGCTGTCCTGACATGGAGTCGGTGCTTGTGGGATAATGGCGGAGGAGACAACAAGGAATGTCTTGAAAGATGGATCGGCATGCACGCACCATACGCCTGAATGCCTCACTATCAATACAACACAACCTCGCAACATATTCTCATGTCCCTCCCCAAGGTACTCGTAGCAGACCCACGTTCACACCGTCAACAGAGCTGCCGAGGAGCACGTCTGTGTACTCAATCCTGACTCAGCCGACGGGCAACAAAGTACAGCTTTACTTGTAGATGCTCGTGTTGTGAGTGAATCTGTGATCGCTATCTCCACTGAGGAGAAGGACCTTAAAACAAGTTTGACAAGGTCAAACTGCCATATCCCTTAGATCATCCCAGGTGTGGCGACGCCGAGGGGGCACATGCCGCCCGGGCAGACCATCGGGTGGCCGGGGAGATTCCCAGCTGGGAAAATCTGGAGGAAGAGCAGGGAGTGATCAGGAGGGGAAATGCGGAGGGAGGGGGTGCAAGGGATGCAGAAAGAATCCACACGAGGGGAAGGAGGAAGGAGACGAGGGGAGGGGAAGAAGGAAGGGGAGGGGAGGGGAGGGGTGATAATAACGATTGAGGCTTCTTACCGCACTGTTCCCTGCATCAGCATACAATCCAAAGGTATCATAAGGACCAGTGCCTATCATCCCAACTTATCAGCCTCATCCTGCCTATCGCTACCCCTCGCTCACATCCACCCCGAACATAGCCCTCCCCTCCTCCTCAACAGATCATCTCAAGTGTGCAAACAGCATGCAATACTGGCCCGCCTTTCCCTCCTATCCTTACCGGGCCAGAATGCTCGTCCCGTGCTGTCCCCAGTGCCATAATCCTTGCCGCCTACGTCAACTGGCCCGATGTATGGCTAGAGAAAATAGAGTCAAAGCAGGTTGATTTGGCATGCATGATGTGTTGTATGTTGGTGGAATATCTTGATGATCTTTCACGAAACATATCACACACAAGAGGCAAAGTTCATTCCGCTTCGTTTGCAACGCGTGAAAGAAAGGGAAACTTTGAGAAAGCGGCCTACAAGGAAGCAACACATCTTTCAAGGATAACAGAGAATGCAGGTTGATAGATTTGATAGATCATCCATGCAGCCCTGCATCCATCTGTTCGCGGGCAAGAGAGCTTGCAACAGAATTCTTCACCCATTCTGAATCTCGCCTTCAATTCTTCTCAGCCCCATTTCTACCTTCAACGCAAATCCCACGCACGTTTTCGCTATTCTCGCCATGCTTTCCCTCTTCCATGAGTCTTCCCTACCATCTCACTCACGTCCTCGATCTCTGTCATTCTCGCTTACTCTTCCTCCCCCTCTTCCTCGCCCGCCATGCTCGCTCTATGTCTTACCGAGCCATCTGCCGGCTGAAGGAGCATGGTGAAAAGCTGGAACATGGCGGCAACCTCTATTTCCGGCTCAGTCCGTTATCAACCTATTACCTACGTTACAAGAATAACGTCTTGTAACTGATATCAAACATTTTTACCGGAAGGGATCCTGCAACGAGTTCACGATGGCGGCCAAGGTGAAGGTGGAACTGGGGTAAGCTGATGAAGAGCAGGAGCAGGAGCAGGAGCAGGAGCAGGAGCAGGAGCAGGAGCAGGAGCAGAGAGCAGAGAGCAGAAAGCAGGAGCAGAGAGCAGAGAGCAGGAGCATGAGCATGAGCAGAGAGCAGAAAGCAGGAGCAGGAGCAGGAGCAAGAGCAAGAGCAGGAGCAGAAGCAGGAGCAGAAGCAGGAGCAGGGGACAGGGAGTAAGAAATTTTGTGGATCGAAGAAACTTCCGCGAGCGCAGAAGTGGAGTAGCAGAGTTTGTGACGAAGAAGAAGAAGGAAACAGGAAGTAGTTGGATGAGAGGACAGAATCTAGGTACAGATGAGATAGCATGGATAGAATACGGATGTACAAGGATGGAAAGCCAAGGAAAGTTGTGAAGAGATGACCACTGAACAAACAGTGAGAGATATCATCTGAGACATGATGTACTCGTGAGATGTAGATCATCATGATGGAACCGGACGCTGTTCTTACTCTTGTGTCTTGACCTGATGCGCTTGCGGCAGGGGAGGACTTGAGCTGCTGTTTCAGAACCAGAGGAACCTGGACGTTGTTGTGCCTGAGCGGGGGGATGGAAAACGACCGACGATAAGAGACGCTCTGATCTATCTCAAGGTGATTCAGAGTCGTCGTGAGCAACAGACTCGGCAATTCAAACAGAACCACAGCCTGTATTAACATCTCTGCATCACCTATCCACCAGTGCTGTTGACATCATCATCATCACCACCAACACCACCACTACCACCACCAAGAAGAAGAAGAACAACAACAAGAACATCAGCATAATCATCAACCACAACGTCAACATCATCATCAACCACAACAACAACATTCACCTCGACAACATGTAAAACATATCCGCCGCCACCACCACATCCTCTCCCTTCTCTCATGCCGTTTCGCAGGAGCAGCACGTGCGCGAGAGGCCAGAAATGTTCCTACAAGGAGAGACAGTCCGTCCAGGGGTTAGGAGAGCACGATATTGTCAGCTCCACACTGACTCTGCCGTCAGATCCTCGTTCTCGTCAACGACGCAGACTGGGAGCTGTAAGACAAGATGAGGAGGACGAGGGCAGGCAGGTGACGTGGGTACAGGTGCGGGGGAGCGGAGTACGAGCTACAGGACGGGGACGCTTTAACAATCATCTCGACTTTACACGGAGGGTGAAAACTGACGTGGAGGGATGTAAAATAACAAACTGAAGGAGGGGGGCAAGGGGAGGAAGCCTCGACACGGGGGAAAATCAGTTTCACAGGAGGATGGAGCTGGACAAGACTTGCAACCAACGGAGGCGTTGGTGTGAAGTCGATAAGGGGGAAGGGGGGGGGTGGGGGGGGGGGGCAGGAAAAAAGGAGAAGAAGCAGGAATAGGAAGAAATGGAGAGGAGGAGAAGGAGAACGAGGCGGCGGCAGAGGAGGAGGAGGAGAAGGAGGAGGAGGAGGAGGAAGATATTCAACGGCCGCATAAACCTCGGCCCCTGTTTCGCCCCTCAAAACTCAGAGCCCAGAAACGTCAGCCCTCCTGAGAGCCTGAGAGACGAGTGAGGTCAGGAGGGCGGCAAGGAGGAGAAGAGCCCACGTACTTTCCGCCGGACGTGAGGATGTCAGGGAGGTCGGAGAGGCTGAAGAGAAGCTCCTTCTGCCCCTCCTTCCCCTGGTTGAGCCGCTTACCCTCCCTCTCGTCCTCTTCCACAGGTCTCTCCTCCCTCTTCCTCCCGGCACCCTGGGGCACTGCCACCTGCTCTGCGCTGGTGGGGGGAGGAGGATGAGGAGGAAGGGAAGCAAACATGTGCGAGACGATCCCGGGCCCGAGCAATGGAGGAGGATGCAGCGACTGATCCATCCCCGTGAAGTAGAACTGAGAGGCGTCGACAGCATGGAGGAGCTTCGGGTCGGAGAGAAGGGAGGGATGGACTTGTTCCTGTGAGAAGCGATAATGCTGCCGGTGCGGATGCTGGGCCTCGATGTGCTCGTTCCAGCCGATAGCCTGCGGAAACAGGAGAATAAGACCAGGAGGCGCGCATAATGCCCTCCACCACCAACTACACCCCATCCTGCCTGTCTCCTCCTCCTGCTCCTGCTTCTGACTTCCCTCTTCCTCCTCCTTTCGCTCTTCCTCTCAACTCACAGGAATTGATCTTGTAATCGCTCCCTCGAGGTCGGCTCCCCGCGTTTCATGACCTGACATCAGCTCTGACGTGTTTGCTTTCCTGTCTTCACATCAGCAACAGAAGGCAGCAAGACAAAAGCAGTCGTCATCACATGCTGCGGCCGACAGAAGTCTCCACTGTCTTGTGATCATTCGACGGTTTGTAGTATGACTGCTCAACACAAACCAACTTCAGTAATCCTCCTCTTCCTTCACCACCGCTACCACCACCTCTCATCCTCCTCTCCTTCCTTCCTTCCTCCTCCGCCTCCTCCTCCTCCTCCTCCTCTACTTCTTCCTCTCCTGGTCCTCACCATTCCAATAACTCCTATCACTTGCTCGAACTTGCACTCGCTGTTGACAGCCTCGTTGTACGAAGTCTGTCACGACACACTGGTCAGGGGCAGGAGCTGCGCTGCTCGTGCTGTCTGACCATGATGAGGGTTGTTGCGAGCTGGTGGAAGGGAGTCTTTTCGTGGTAGCTCCGATTCGTCACCGTGTGCCAGTGCATCGCGCAGGCACATCCTGGGAGGAGCGATTAGTGATCGAGCAGAGACCGCTGAGACAAGACAAGAAAACCAGCAAGGCAAGGAGGCAGCAGAGCAACAGGCAGTCAACGACTCACGACAACATCCTCATGGATGAATCTATCCACTCTCCCAAGGATCATCCCAACCTTGAAGCCCACACCACAGCAACAACGCCCGCATGCGTCATCACAGCAACGAAACCACGCATCTCCCCTCCCGCGCTCCCTACCCAGCAGCTTCCCTCTCGGCTTGTTTGCGCTCTCACAGTTGCAGCACGTTCTGCACCACAGCTGAGCGTATCTCCCGGCCTTGGGCGACTCGATGATCTTGTGGCGCCTGCAACACGTCAGCAGGCAGCAGCAGCAGAGGGAAGGGGGCGCTGACCCCGTGCAGCCAATCACGATCTCTGTGTCCTTCTTGTACCTGTACCTCGCAATCTGCGGCTCCCAGCTCGACTTGCGTGCTGTGGTGAGGAGGAGGTGAGCGGCAGGCAGCGATGGCTCGTTCACACTATGAGAGGTCACGCAAGGAGGAAGGTGGTGGTGAAAGGACCAGTAGCAGCAGAAGCAGCAAAGGCACAATCGTTGTCTGACCGTCAAACAAGTAGGTCACAGATCGTTCGGACCCTCTGTTCACATCCACTCGCTCCACTCGCTCGCTGCACCCTGCAACTGCCTTCAGTGCTCGGCGAGGGGCGGGAGAAGGATGGGCCCACCATGGCACGGGCAAGTCGAGGGGATGACGATGTCGGTTTCGAAGCTCTGCGGCAAGCATGAGACGGGCTGACAGCAGCTGCTCGTTGGTGCTCACCTTGTCCTCTCCTGTTTTCACATCCGCACAGGTTGGGTACGCGTTGTTCTGAGAAAGCCCGTCAAAAAGACCTCCCGACAGTCTGGACAGCTTCCTTACGGGGTTGAGCGCAAGGAGATGGGCAAACCCTCTCCTGAAGTGACTGCAGCCCTGCCTCTTGCAGATCTTGCACATGGGCATCTGACCTTGGGGAGGGGTCGCCCAGTTGCCCATCCTCATGGACTCCCCTGCCATGGCCCGCTGTCGCTATGCAGGACCGAGAGCGTTAAGTAGTGACTTGAAGCCACTCTCTGTCATACAACAAGCTCCATCTCTTCGATGATGACGACCGTCAATGCGAGGCCAGTGGAATGAGAAGTTTTGAGAGGGAGCAAGGGAGATGGGACTGCACTTGGTCGTAGTCGTAGTGTGCTGGAGAGCGAGCTGGACCTGGGAGGGGGGAAGAGGGTGAGAACGAGGAGGGAGGCAGGGAGGCAGAAACCAAGGGATGGAAGGAAGGGACGAGCGAAGGAAGGAAGGGGTAAGAGCAAAGGAGAGCAGAGAAGGCGGGAGAGGAAGAGACCGCGGGACGAAATGCAAGCAAGAGGGCAGGTGATGTGGGAGGAGCTGGAGGAAGTCGAACGTAGAGGGGGTACGTTGGAGATTTGATGGGTGGGGGTAGATGGTAGCCAAATCATCCGGGGTGGGTAGGGGAATCGCCCACGGACCAAGAGACTTTTCATTATACGAATAGGTCAATTTGAGGAGGTGGGGTGGTTATTGTATCAAGGAACCAAGACAGTCGTAGAGATTTGTAGGGGTTACATGGACAGGGGGTGGGGTCCCAGTAAAGCGGGGAGTTTGGCTTACCTTCCTTGGTTGGTGAGGATTTGAGGCATAAAAAGTAGGGGTGGTGGATTGAAGGGAGGGGTACATTGTACAAAATTCATATTTTTACCCCATATTACGGCTAAACTGACCTTGTAACATACCGGTACGTAAAAACAATGTGGGTCATCATTCTAATTAGGGGGTAGGGGTGCGTGATTCCAGTCGGGGGAACTGGGTTAACTGACAAGGTCGCGATGTTGGAGCCCTTCGATTACGTACCGTACATTACTACAGACAGTCGTATATAGGTGTGATGCTCTGTGATTTCTTGTGAACTTGAGTGTTATTCTCTGTGAAATATCGAAGAGAGCTTTACACCCTGTGACTTCATGACTCTTTCACCACTCACGCTAAGTCAGCAATGACGTGCCGCTGTGCAGGCCCGGTGACACTCAGATCGGACTCCGGGACCATCATCGGACTGCCGCCGGGGCGCCCGGACTCGGACTCCCCGGGCCGGGGCCGCCGGGGCCCGACCGGCGACTCGAGTCGGCCGGTCGGACCGGGCCAACCTTGAACTGACTTACCGTACTCAGTGGCAATCAACGAGCTCTATGGTGGCTGACGAAATTGTTCATCGGCTTCAGAGCGAACACCGTCACAATTACATGATCTCACTCCGTGACGAAGGATATGACCGGGAGAGCCTGGGAGCCTGTCTCCCAGGTCAATGATGCATGATCTGTTTTTTTTATTTTAGTTTTGATTGGAGTTTCTGTTGCCGCTTGGATGCTTTTCAGAACAGTTTATTTATTTCATTTTAAACAAAATTCTTTTCCATCTGAGCTTACTCACGCTACTACTATCAAATATTGAGATTATTTGGACTATTACTCCAAGTTTGATTTTGATGCTTATTGCTGTTCCGTCGCCCCCGGATGTCACTGTTCAAGTACATCTTTTCGCAAGTCCCCGTGACCGTGAAAGGGCAGTACGTCGCCCCCGCGGAAAGGAACTCGGAAGCGCATTGCGGCGCAGTGCCGTGCACGTCAAGACGGTCCCGGAAGGAACGGTGCCGGAGCGGGGTCCTGGCTGCGGCCAGCTCCCGCTGAGGACCTGCCGCACCGAACCCTACTACCCCGCGTTAGGCCGCGGAGGCGGTAGAGGTGGGAGAGGAGGCGGGCGGTCGCGGCCGCACTGTGTCCGATCCGATGATCATCGGTCTGAAAGAAGCCCTGGATGTCGAGGAGGCGACTGCGCGCTACCGAAGCTGGAGATTGTGGCTGCGTTGAGGGGTGCCAAAGCCAGCGCCAAGCCCGATCCCCGGAGTCCCCGCCGGAAGGAAGTTGGGGACCCTGGCTTTCATCGTTTGCGTGCTCGCCTGTTTCGGCAGTATCGCTCTCGCATAGTGTTTTGTTGCGGCGGATTTGTGAAATCTTTAGTTAAAGCTGAGCCGGCGTTTGAAAAACTGTTCTCTTGGTAGGATATCTTGGTGGGCGGGAAAAAAGAAAAACCGACCCACCCTTCAGGCTCCGGCGGAGGGAAATACAGGGGTCATCAGACAGGCCCCTCCGGCACAAAGCAAACTGCGGCGACTCTGGTAGACTAGCCATGTCCATGATGCTCCTCCGCCTCCTCCTCTTGCTCGCGCTCAGTCTCGAGGGCTGCATGGCGAACCGAGCCCAGCTCGGCAGAAGTAGCGTAGCCAATTTTGCAAACATTCGTCATATAGAGTCAAGAAACTGGCATCTTCTCGTAGATGCCAGCTTCTTCGAAGCTGGCATCTTCTCGAGATGCTATGAAATAGGATGTGTACGCCGTGAGAGTCTCAAGTTTGATGACAGCATCGGGAAGAATCTTGAGAGTAGCGGGACAGCTTCACAGAGTTTCCGCCAGCATTACAACAAAGCCTGGCAATCAGTAATCCCGAAGGCTGAGAACATGCCGCCGAGCTTCGAATACAGCTCCCTTCCAGAGACCTCAGGAACTGCTCCAGGGAAAGGCTACTATCTTAAGTGCAACATGTGTTTATCTTTCAATCAAGACGTATATCTCTGCACGTTATTCAAAGACATTGTAGACGATCCAGGGAGAAACGTGAGATCAGTCACTCCGGGAGGATCTGCCCCTTTCACAAGCGTTCTGGTTAGGACGAACCACTACATTTGTTTTGAGATCACGGAGGCTCCGGAGAAACTATTCGAAAAGATCTATCAGCTTAGTCGAGTATCTCATGTTCTCAAGAGCGATTTCATTGGAAAGGAGGCGCAGATCGCCGCGACAGGGATATTTGTGAATGGAGACAAGGCCGTCTTCGACTTTTCTTGTGAAAAAGTACAAGAATTTCTTGTCAAAGCAGCCGAGGACGACAAACTTGGTAAGCTGTTCAACTGGGAAGTCCCTATCTTCTTGATTCATACTCCATATCGAAACTTGTTCACCGCAATCGAGGAAGTGAATCAAAACTTGAAGGAAAGTATTGAGGCAATGAGATCCGAGATCAAGGAAAGGGATCAGAAAATGAGATCCGGGATCAAGGAAAGGGATCAGAAAATCAGATCCGAGATCAAGGAAAGGGATCAGAAAATCAGATCCGAGATTAAAAATATATCATCTGAGATCAATCAGAGTTTGAGCACTAAACTCGATCAGATTATCAATCTCATGGCCCGCTAATAAAGCCAGCCGGAGAGGCTTGAATACACTCGGAATGTCAAACCGTCGAGTCTTTTTCTCCAATATCGATATCATTTGTCATCACCATCTCCATCGTCATGATACAGGCATCATGATGATGATGAATCATGCCGCATGCAAGTCATGTAGCATCCGGCCGCCAAGCGCGGATTCGGGGGGATAGAGCTCCACTGCCAGTAGCTGCCATGAGCCTCCCGGAGAAGAGCTGCCTGAACCTGGGATAAGTGCGCCCGCCGCTCAAGATTAGGGAGGAAAGTCTGCATCAACTGTGCAGAAAAGGAGGTCCGCCCGCGAGGTGGAAGAGAGCTGGAGATCAGGGATCGAATTGTGCAAGCGTGCTTCATCCAGGTCACTGAGGTCCATATCTGGTCCATAAGGTCCATATATTGCGGCATGCCACGATCAACCAGGGCCTGATGCAGCTAGATCCGGCTCGTCCGCTTGACGGAGGGTCCCTGCGTGCAGACCGTACCTTGTTATTCTTGACCGTATGAAGCTGGCCGTGCCAGTGGCGATGTAATAAGCTGATATGCTAACCCCTGCTTGAGGTGTGAAGCTCTCGATATCAACGATCTCTTCAAAGCATCCCTCGTCTGAAAAGGGCGGCCGAGCGTCCTAGTACCGGGTCGTGCTCCGACTCGCTGTTGAACGGTACTTGGTGGCACGTCGGGGCCAGAATTCTACTCATTGTGTCTCTCAGTGTGCTCAGTTCAAACAGACCAACCTTAGATTACGATAAAAAAAGGAAGTAGAGAAAGTTCACAGTTTGCTATGCCTGAACCTCCGAGTCTAGAACCAGTGACGTCCTCGGTCAATCGGCCTTAAATAGCCGCGGGGAATGAGTTTGAAATCTCGCCATTGAGAGTTTGAAAGGTCCATGAAGAACACTGCCACGTTGGTCGAGGTGGTCTCACACTGATGTCCGTCAGATCCAACCAGATGCTATACGAAGGCTTGGCCGGATGCTACATGACTTGCATGCGGCATGATTCATCCGAAAGTAGGTTAGTGTCAAGCTACTGAATGACAAGATTCTGAAAACCAACAGTTCCAATTTGACGAACCTAATGGAAGATTTCAACGAGCATCTGTTTCAGGCTTTGGCATCGACTGCGAATCAAGATAAACTCAATCAATGCTTCAATCTGTATCGTTTGTCTCTACCCCTCTACTCTCCTTCTGAGTCCGATGATCGTTTGTCCTATCCCCTCCACTCTCCTTCTCCCTTGGCAAGTTGTCATTCCCTGTTCATTCCGTCCCCTTCCACAAAGCACTAAGGGAGGGAGAATGGGAGAAAACGAAGCGCCAAAAGAGTCAAGGGTCTGGGAATTCCCAGATTATTTCATTAGTCCAACCTAATCGCACGATTCTCGAAAATTTCATTTTAATCACTGCCCGATCGACGTTCAAGCTAGGCTTGGAAACGAGTGTAAAATACAGCGGACCTTCAAGATAGATAGTGCCCCTCGCTGGTCCTAAATGATAAGGATTCGCTTTGAGAGGCATGTGCAGCTCTCTCTGAAACAAAGCAGTCTTCAACAATTCTGCATCTATGCACCAAGTGAATTGTTTCCCACTGTCCGATCCTGTACACGTAACAAGCTTGTCATCAATTGGGACCTTTTGCAATAAGGCAAGTATGCAGTTGAATACAGGAATATGAATGTCGAAGTCAAGCCTCCTTGCTTTCCTTGAATTTCAATTAACAGCTCCACGAGCATTGAGCCATCGCTTTAGAGTGTCTCTGATTATCCCAAGCTCTGTAGAGGTTTTGAAATAATCGATCATATTTCCTGGTTGTCCAAAATATGAGTGCAGCATATCAGCTGTCAGACGAAATTTTTGGAAGAAACCCATTTGGAGTCGCTCGTCCCTGTTCACACTACAAAGCCATCCGATCACACGCAAATGTTGAAGTACTCTGAATGGAACTTAGGACAGAACAGAAAGGAAATGTAACTTTGAATATTCCGACCACATCAGCCAGTGGAAGAATATCCGTGTAGATGCTCTGAAAACAATCGTTTGGTTGCATGGAATCGAGATATCTGCGATATCTTCGCTTGTACTTCAAGCATTTTATCTGAAGTGACTTCCTTGATCAATCCGCATCTATGCTTCTTATGCACATCGTGAAAAAAGACACCAACAGAAGGAATCAAATCAAACTCCATGTCCCAGTCACAAGACAAATATTTCGGAGCATTCAAGACATGGGAAGCCTCAAGTGATGCAAAGCATAAGGGGATTTGCGCTCTAGATTCACCAACTAACCTTTCTCGGATATTTTGCCTTGTCTCATGATCCCTCTGCTCCAGCTTTCTTCTTCTCAAGTTGGCATCAGCAGCTGCATTGCGTCGATCCATGCCGATGATGAACGAGGAAGGTGTCTGGGGGAGAGCCTCAGAGGAAATAAAAATAATTGGCACTTGAAGTTTTCGGTAGGGTCTTTTTTTTTAATAGGCGTGCTATTTTGATAAACGAGCTAGACTCGGACCCCACTTCATAGTACCCATGCGTTTTAGTTTATTTCAACAATCCTCTTCAAGCCCAAGTTATTTCAACAGAGCAATGGCGGCGCAATCAGGGCGGCCCGGCACCGTCGTCAAGGGCTGCATCATCGCTCGGCATTGCCAAAAGGAGGAGATTGGAGCAAAGAGAACAACTTTATCCTCTACATTCGCAGGAGATACATCCAAGAATTCCACCGGGCAATCTTGCAACACCGTTGTTCCGATCATTCTGTGCACTACACCACGTTGAAGGTTTAGACATGTCATTCAATCTGGTACCATGTCTTGGTGTGAGGTTTACGGATGTCAATGGGAAATCTGCACAAGATTCTCAACAGGATGAAACGTGTTGAATTTGATGTGGATCTAGACGAAATTACATCAGTCCTGCTTCTTTTCAAACACCTGCAACCGGACGACTGTAACGAAAATATCTGTCGTACAGGGTTGAATGGGAAAGGTTAGTGCAGCTGGACCATCAGTACATCACTCTTGCAGAACCCTGTCATAAACATAGAATTTCCTGTGCCTTTCAAAAATGAACCCTACATGTTAGAACCTGGATCAGGTTCGTTGTATTTATAGCCGGCCCACTGACAGTCACCTTGAAACGAAATCAGAGGACACAGTACACGTGCATCGAGTCTCTTTCAAGTTCGAAAGACCCGGAATTGAATGGTACGATTGTGCATGTTTCACACAGAGATTTGGAGGCATCCAGATTGAACGCGAGTTTACTCAGACATTAATTTACGCAAGGATGACTTTGAAGGAGCAGCCACAATAAAGTGAAGTGTGCTCGAACCGAATTGTTGAATTTCTTCTTGTCTGCATTGCGTGAAGGTCCATCAGTGACTACCGCATGGACAGTGCATATCCCACACATGGTCAAGTTGCCAGTTAGATGCAGTAGCAGCTTTCTTCTTCTCCGATCCAATGTAGCTGTTCCCGATCATGGCAGCAGCTCGATGACTAACTTGAAAGCAAAACCCCTAATCTCGAAAGGAAGTGCTTTGACGTCTTCCTTACTGATATTTGCATGATGCTGAGTTTGCAGAATGTACAAAATACTCTTCAATTCCAAAATAGCCTCCTGCCAAAGAAGCTGTGCAGTCTGTTTTCACTCAAGTGAATGTGAACATTCTTCACCATGAAAAGTTGGTTGACCCTTGTCAGCTTTGCCTTGTTGTCATTTCTTACCTTAAACAGTGAGTATTCATAACAGTGAGTATTCATATCAGAGTCAGTGAGTATTCAGTTCCGAGGTTCATACTATCATCAGTGAGTATTCATATCCTGGCAGTGAGTATTCATATAGGGGGTAGGCCCGTGCCACGACGGTCACGGGTGGAGGGGACCGTCGGTCGGAACTTCTGTACCATGAAACCTCTCTTTTGTACCAATATGTTTTCATACAGTACAATCTGTACTACCATGTATGTGATCAGTGGGCAAAACTAAAATTGCAGTCACCTCTAAAACCCGGCAAGGCGGGGGAAGGGTTCCACGCCAGCCGGGAATTCAAATCCGACCCGCCCGTGACCCCGCTTTTGTCCAGCCTCTCTACCGTACCCCTTTGATCGTCGGGTGCCTCGGAAAACAGGGGGTAGTCAACAGGGAGTGTATATACGGACCCCATGCGAACCCCAGAAAAAGTACTAAAAAAAAAACTTACCAGATTTGCTAGGGGCTGCATATGGGTTTGTGAACGGCATCCGGCGGCCGGCCGGCCGGCCCGGGGCGCCCCGGCCCGGACGGTTCCCAGGGCCGCCGGTCTCCGTCACCCCGGCCGGCGGGGCTGCCGGCCGGGCCGCGGCTTGGTCCGAGTCCGAGTCGCCCGCGGCCGTTCAGTGGCGGCGGGCCCGGCGGAAGCCCAGGCTGCGGCACCGCACTCAGCTGCGGCGGCAAGTTCACGTCCCGGCCACTGAGAGTCAGTGTTATAAAGCGGATGTGGGGGTGTTTATGTCTGGAGCTCACCGGGTAGAGGAACTCAATAATGTCTTTGAATTAGGGGGTACTTCTAATTTGAGGGTAGGTAGGGTGCGTTTGCACCCCTTGAGATCATGGGGTGGGTGGGTTGTCAGTGTAGAACTAATGCGGCGGTGGGAATGGATGACGATGGCGGTGGCGATGATGGCGATGGGAGGAAGAGAGGGAGAAGCATTCCATGTATTCCTTCCTCCTTCAGGCAGCAGACAGACAGTGTCCCAGCTCTCCACGCTCAGACCCTCTCAGTGCTTCTCGGGCTGGGTAGGTAGGAGGAACGTTGCCAAGGGTTCAGTCCCTCTGACCATGAAGGGCTTGGAGGATGAGGAATGGCAGGACCTGGCAGAGAAGCTCGCAGACCCTTTCGTCTCTCCTCTCGAGAAGCCCATGATCCTTGCAGAGCTCGCACGGCGGCGCGACCAGGTCTCGGATACTGTCTCTGACGTACTCGGAGGGCGGCGTTCCCAGGAGGCGCTGCTGGGGAGCAGAGGGAGGAAGCAGCTCAGAGCAGCTCGTGCTGTAGCCCGTCAGGTCACAGAGGACATTGTTCCCGAGGCCAGGAGGCAAGCGGAGGAGCTGCTGGAAGAGGTGAGGGGCAACGGCATCGAGAAGATCGCTGCAGACATTCAGAGCCGTCTGCTCGTTGCCATCGACGACGCTACGGCAGAGGGCATGCTGAAGGCTCCAGGCGTGGTCTCGGTGGATGACATCGTTACAGAGCTCAGGAACGTCTTCTCCGAGACCCCTGAGGGGCTCGAGACCCCTTCCTACTCCGTGGTCAGCTCCTCGGACGAGTACGAGGTAAGGGAATATTCGTCGATGCTTCTGGCCTCCAAGGACATGAGCACGGGCAAGCAAGAGGACGGAAACGCGTTCAACGAGCTGGCGTCCTTCCTCTTTGGCAAGAACGACAGGAAGGAGGCGATGTGAGGAGCTGGAGAGGGGGGTGGGAGGCTCGCCTGACTTGGAGCAGGAGCATGACGACACCGGTGATCACGTCGGTGGACAGGGAGGGGAGGACCCGTAGCATGTCCTTTGTGATCCCCTCCAAGTACAACCTCGACAACGTCCCCAGGCCCCTCCAGCCCTCGGACGTGACGATGAGCCGCATGGAAGCCGTCAGGGTGGCGGCGCGGGAGTTCCCGGGGTTCGCTACTCCTGCTGAGGTCCTGAGAAATCTGCTTACTTCCCTCCCTCCCTCCCTCC